CATTATCTGGCAGTAATGCCGGGGTGCCAATATTCTGGGCCATGACTGTATATATTAATGACATTTATTTATTGTATTTTTTTTCCTTTGCCTTTATGCCTGTGTGCAGTACCTACAAAAAACCTCTAGGGGGTGCCACGTGTCCTGGCATTTGTCAAATACATTTTTGGGATTTAGCAGCAATGACAGCACAGACCGCGCCTTATTCTGTACAGAAATGGCTAGAAAAAAAAGCCTTACACCATAAAGTACGCTTGGAATGATGAAATTCTGTATTCTGAAATAAACTGATATTCACCTCAATTTGTTAATGAGGTATTTAACGTTGACATTTCATAGAAGCAATCTGTTTTAGATAACTGCGCTGGAAAAATGCTGATTGATCCTGAGAGCAATAAGAAATCAGCTATAGTGGAGATACATTAATACAGGGGTGAATGTATTAAGAAGGTAGTGTTCAGCATAAACAGCCGTTCATATGGCGTGTTCATTGTTCCAAGTGTGTGATTTCATACAATTATGATGCCATTCAGCAAACATCCTCTGAATGAGCTAGTGAGTAAACACAGCTGTCCTAACATTCAAGCAAAACCAAAGCTGGCCACACACCAGCAGCCAGACCTGAAACTTTGTCCAGATAAGTGTACGTTATTCCCCCCAAAAGGAAAGGATTGGTATTGTGGGTCATAAGAATACAGAGCCATGCAACATTCACTTACACATTCAGCTACACCAACTATAAATGATCGCAATCCAGGTATTAGGACGGAGATGCACTCAGACACAAGCCTCCCTATACCAGTTTGTATTAGGGCTCATTCACAGGGGAATCAGCCGGCACGTACAGCTCCATGCTGCGTGCACGGCCGTATCAGGCAGCTCCCGGGACTCTCTATGTGACTACGTGGCCATATGCCGCACTGCGCTCACCCGCCCTGCACATCTGCGCGGGTGAACGTACTCGTATGCTGACAGGATGGATTCTGTCTGCGTCTGAGCAGGGACATGCACCCGTACGGACCTGCACTCGAGCGGAGTGTAGGGCAGCGTAGCCCCATAGAGAAGGACAGGGGCTGCGTACTAATCACACGCACCTGTCCTTCTCGGGAGCTGCCCGATACAGCCGTGCACGCAGCATGGAGCTGTACTCATTTTGCCTAATGAAGGGGATCCTGTGAGAACCCGAAACGTTGCTTTTTGATGCATTGTGCTATGTTTCATGCGTCAATAAACAGACGCCATTGATAGAAGGTTGCCGTCCATCGACTGCCGCAGCACCCATCTTTTATAAGGAACAGCGGTTTCCAGTGCGATGGGTTCATGGACTGTATCCTGCGTACTAATCACACGCACCTGTCCTTCCCGGGAGCTGGCCGCTACAGCCGTGCACGCAGCATGGAGCTGTACGTGCCAGCCGATTCCCATGTGAATGAGCCCTTAAGCTCACCACACACATTACAACCTCATTGAACAATGCCCTTCAGATCTACCAGCAACTATATAGTGCAAATGCCCGTCTGCCTGACTGGATAGATTAGGTCGGTCTTCATATTACATTGTTTTGGTAAATGTAAAGTTGTTTGTACAATCAGATTGTAACTAGTATGGTGAGCCCGAGGATTGGGATTGGTTCTGCCCATTAATCATTAATCCAGGTAGAACAGGCTGCTTTGTCCACTTTAAAGAGGAACTCTTCCCATATCTTTAAAACAACAACAAAAGGCACCTTTAGAAATGTTTAGTAATGACAACCTACAAACACATACTTCTTTGCATTCCTTATTTCTTCTGACGGCGGCCATTTTAAGTAGGGGCAGGTTACGAGATCTCCCTTTACTTCCTGGAACTCTGGCACATGTGACCAGGACATGTGACCATGCACATCATCTCAGGGGAGGAAAATGCCTTTCCCTGAGATTACAGATGAGATTTCACAGGAATGCTCTGCTGATGTAACCTCCCAGGATGCAATGCTCGGGCACGATTACATCATTTGTGCCAAAGTGGACCAGGAAGTAAAAAAAGAAATCGTAAGTAAAATAAAAATATGTTTGTTTAGCTAATGAATGCAAGATGATTTAATATCAGCATGCAGAGCTGTACGCTGATGTGATTATTAGTCAGAGGGGGTAAAGGTTCGCTTTAATCTTCCTAAAGCCTAACTCCAGGCAAACCTTTGATTTTTTTTTTTATGGTAAACTTGGAAAGAGTAAATAGTTCTGACAAGCTTTAACTGCTGTCTATATCCCTGAGAAGACGACTTACATTCACTTCCTGTCCCTACGATAGGAGGACAAAGATGAGGGCAAATAATCAACACCGGGACAAGAGAGCACGCGCACACACACACACACACAAAGTAATAACCTGCCAGAGGTTCTAACCATTTCCCATTTTACTGAGAAAATGTTATGGTTTTGCAGTCTGTCCTCCCACTGGAGAGATTTCTCATCACTTCCTGTCCAGACAGAATGTGAGAACAAATCTCCTCAAATGGGTTCTATCCCTTTCCTACTTCCTGTCTAAAAAGTAGTAGTATGGCTTTAAAGATCATTTACACATACCGTGTTTCCCCGAAAATAAGTCACTGTCTTATATTTTTTTGGCTCAAAAAACACACACTAGGTCTTATTTTTGTTAATGTACAACAATCCACACTTATTCATGTACAAAAATATGGTGATCAGGGCAATCAGGGGTGCCGTACCTGCCCAAGAGCAATTTGGTAACTAATCGCTGGCCAGAATGAGGGAAGAGCACTTTCACCATCGATTCCTCACAGACGGAGTGCATTTGGTATCACACCACCTGTGACAGGAGCCGGCGCTATAGAGGAAGCATTGGCTTATGCGGCTCTGCTCCCTCCGGTGCCGCCTCGCTTCCTCTAGCGCTGGCTTCGTTGGCACTGCTGATTCTCTCCCGCAACTCTTCAAGTTCCCCCCTTATGCCACCCCCGCCCCTGGGATTGGTCACAACTAGGTCTTATTTTCGGGGGTAGGTCTTATATTTTAGCAATTCCCAAAAATAGTACTAGGTCTTATTTTCGGGGTAACAGGGTATTTGGAAGCACATTTTAAATACAGCTTGTAGTCAGCATGTGTTAAAGGGATTAAACCTGTTACCACAGGCATAAGGAATAACTATAGCTTTACAGGTCTCAGAAATCGCATGCAGTACACGAGTCAGACAAGCAGCTTCCATCAGTGTCTAACTGTGCAGGTCTTTTTGTTTGTAACAGAATCCCTTTAGCACAGTTTGACTTTCATAGAAGATACAGATATTAAAAAGATATACAAGGGACCTCCATTGGTGACACCCTTCTGGAAATGCAACTTGTCTGGCTGTCCTATTAATCTAATGCAGGGGTAGGCAACCTTGGCTCTCCAGCTGTGCTGAAACTACAAATCCCATAAGGCATTGCAAGCCACAGGCATGACTCCCAGAGGCAAAAGCATGATGGGATTTGTAGTTTCAGTACAACTGGAGAGCCAAGGTTGCCTACCCCTGATCTAGAGACTCAAATACTGGAGTCACAAAGTTGAATATTCTTCAGGAATTCAGACTTTACTGGTTACATTTTTTTTTTTCCGAGTCCGTGACGTACAGTACTGAATTCCAAGTGGAACAGTGTACATATCTGCATGCATGTGAACTGCTCCAACCCTGATGTAAACATTTGAAATGAAGTTTGTATGTGTTAATGCAGAAATAGCACCATAAGGCTGACCGCCAGTCAGACAGCTGGAGTGAATGTCTGTATTTTGTTTTATATCGGCTTCCTGTTCGAGAGAAAAGCTAGTCAGACAGTTCCAGCCAGGCATGTCACATGTCAGTCTTAAGCTGCCCATACACCTTACAACCATCGCACGACTTTCGTTGTGCGATGGTTGTAAGGTCATTAACATTTCGTACGACCTGCACATCGTGGACAGGCAGATGGTACTTGCAATCATCGCAAGCCCTCCCCGCTGAGGGGAGGGCTTGCCGATGATTGCAATGCCGAGCGGGCAGTGTGCGCTTGCGCACACCGTTCCGTGCGGCTTTCGTCTTGAGATCACGCTACCAACCCGTTTTCTAGCGTGTGACCGTACAGTAAATGAGGTCGCACGCTGCCCATACACCTGCCGATCATTGTACGATCGCGGGATCACCCCGCAGGCGTTTCTGTACGTCAAAATTCGGACGATTTACTCTGCACATGCGCAGACGAGAATGCGTGCGGTTGATTACCGCAATTCGTCCAGGTGCTTTCTTCTAAATACTGCTGATCCAACCATGTAATAACCGGGGCAGGATGGGGCCGCCGTACGAAAATCGTACAATGGTTCAATCATCGGATGAAAAGTGTCGTCCGATGATCGCAAGGTGTATGGGCAGCCTAACACAGGAAATGGCTACAGGAGGGGAGAGTGAAGATGACCTCATCAGTGTGCGGTTGTTTCTTTAGCCGATCCCAAGTTACTCCTCACTGCAGCAGAGAATATGGTGTCACCATCTTGTATATGCTGTGTGGCAGGATTCACATATGTGTATTTCAAACCCAAATTTATTCGGGGATTTTAGCTTTAACCAAGGACGGCGGTATTTTATACATGCTGATCGAAAAGGAGATCACTTTGCCATATTCTCCAGTCCCCTCCAGGGAATAATGCAGGTTACAATTTAGGGACAATGCCACACAATAGAATGTGTGAAAGGGGTGTGCCGATCCCTATTCAACACAGAACTGATGTTCCACAGTGCAGCTCAGCAAGAGGAATACACACTGTGATTTTACCATTTCTGCTGTGACTAAAACCTGAGACGGTGACTCCCTTTTTTCTGATATAAAAAGAGGGGACTAAAAAATAGCAGTTCCTTGGATGTCAGGTAAGTGTGGGTAGAGAACACAAAGAATCTCAGCTTTGCAGTCTGCAGTAAATTTAGCCCGGGCTTATTAATTGCTCATCTGGAAAATGTCTAATCCCAACATGTAATTATGCAAATGAACGGAGCCGCAATTTTCGTGTCTGTGTTTATTCAGCACTGTGTAAGACGCTGCCTTCCAGCACAAACAGGACCCCGTACAAAGGAATGAGACACCCCCCCACCCTCACAATTTACAATTCCGGTCTCCTTTGAATGCTTAACAGCTCCACCTCAAATATAAGAGTGGCTCCGCCTGAAAGAAAAATAGAAATATGCAAATTAGCAAGCGTACCTAGGCCAACAGCGCAGCGGTAGATCCTTTTAACTTTGTAAGATGAAAAGCAATGTGCAAAGAATTGTAACCAACAATAGCCACCTGAAGCCCCGCCTTTCTTCTAGAAGCTGAACATTTCATGGTTACTATGGGGCAAATAGACTTGGCTTCTGCACTGCTTTGGCCACTAAGACTGCACGAGTTGCTTTTGTTAACATTCATGTTTTGGTTAGCTAATATATTATTCAGTTGAACTAGTTAAAATAAGGCAGAAAATAAATGGAGACAATAGTTGACATTTATAAAGAGGACAAAATCAGCCCTAAAAAGAATGCTACAAAACGTTTCACTCTTTGCTCAACATTTGTAATTGAGATGACATTTTATTTGCGATTACAATGGGATGGAGATTTCCATGAAGTGTTATATGAACAAATAAAAAAATTACATTCTCAATACAACATTTCAGTGCCATTTCCCATATTTTTAACCCCTTCATGACTGAGGCCTTTTCATTTTTTTGCACCCATGTTATATTCCACATTTTAGGCCCGGAAAGTACTGAAAACACCCAAACATTATATATTTTCTGAAAGCCCAGACACTATAGAATAAAATGGTGGTAGTTGCAAATTTTTATGTTGCACGATATTAGCGAAACTCCTTATCAAATCCCAAAATTGTGAAAAATGTACTTAAATGCCCCAAAACACAATAAAATACCAATTTAAAAAAAGTTAAATATAAAAGATGGTTACGAGTAAATAGATACCCAACATGCCCAGGTTAACAATTGTGTGTTTCCGTGAAAAAGCCCCCACAGGTCATTATTTTTAGATTTATTTTATGTAAATATTAAAAAAGGTTATTCATTTTTTTACTTTAATTGCTATCACATAGGGGGGCTTACAAGCCCCCCCATGTGATAGCAGATGGTGGTGACAGGCAGGGCAGCCATCAGGGGGGTACGGCAGATACTCATGTAAGGGGCCCGGGCAGCCTGGGGGGCCCACCCGGATGAGTATCGGCCGACGGCACTGGCGGAACTACGAGGGTCGAGGGGGGGGGCAGAAAGGAGGAAAGCCCACCCCGGTACAACACCAGCAGTCGGTCCCAGTCCAATTAATATTAATATAGTCCCCTCTCTCCCAGATCCCCCACTGAACTGACAGCAGAAGAGAAGGGAACTATTTTACCATTTTCGGGTGCCGCGGAGGAATACCGAGAGCTTCGGCAGCCGACAATTAACTCTGAGGTCCTGTTCACATATCAGGTCCTGATCAGGTGCAGATCTGCAAACGCGGTGCTACTGATGCGGTGCTACTGATGCAGTGCGTTTTTGATGCGTTCCAGTTAAAAATAATTTGATATTATGATTATGATATTATGGCTGCCTGACATCAGGAAGGTGGGCAGTGAGTCATTACACATCGCTCGGTTTCCCGATTGGCCAGAAAGCCGGCTCCATGCTTTCTCGCCACCTAGTAACAAGCCTGTGGAAGCACGACGGGGGGAGACCCCTTTACTGAGCCATAGAAGCGATGTGGCGACAGACTGTCGGCTTTACAAGTTTAAACAGAGTCCCGGCGGCTTTAGTCTGTTTAAACAGCCCCGATGGTAGTGGCGTACACTGTACGTCGTTAGACGAGGAGGAGTTAAAGAGGAACTTTGGAAATTGTAAATATTAACTCTGAAAGTGGGACAAACCCTGCACTGCAAGGGTTGACTGCTTGTTTTGGTCTAGGGGCAAAAAAGGATGTACTCACCTGATCTCTAGTCCCACCAAGCTGCTAGACAGGTCCCCACAGCCTCTCCTCCCCAGGCTCTGGTGGTCTAAGGACACGTGACATCACCACATCTAAAGCTGGCCATACACCTTACAATTTTTGATCGGAAAGCTTCGTTGCCCCCAAGAACCCTTTTTCGATTTTAGCTTAAATAGCCCATCATGCCCAGACCAATGTGGATTTCAATTATCGTTCGTTAGCAATACTAACTCAACAAATGTTCTCGATTGACAGAACGGATTTTCGTTTGCGCATGTGCAGTGTTCATGCTGCGATTTTTTTTCCGTACGAAAACGCCACTAATCCATCGATTTTCATATGATTCGAAAAAAGTTTTGTAGCCTGACCGATCGAGGAAATTCGGCCAGGAGTACAGTAATGCCGATCGTTCACTTTCCATCAACTGGTCCATTATCTTACGAAAACCCAATCTCGTCCAGAAATTGAACGATAATCGCAAGGTGTATGGGCACCTTAATGCAAGTGCATTAGATGTGAAGATGCTGAGGAATGTTTCACTGCTGAAGGGGAGGGAAGAGAGCGGAGTCCTGACCGCTGCATGACCGGAGGATCAAACAAGTATATGTCTTTATTCTGGCCCTCAGAGAAAGAAAACCCCAAGCAGTTAACCATTGCAGTGCAGGGGTAGAATCCCTGCAAGGGTTCATTTTTATTTCTTGGATTTCCTCCTTAAAAATACTCAACCTTCATTATGATCCTCATATCCATGGACTCTTTGTTTTATCTGTGCAGATTTCACTTAATCATCCCTAATCTTTAACCCTCATTTCCCTTTATTGCATGGCAGGAAACCTCTTACAGCTTCAGCAAGTGATATACTAGTTTCTTCCATCTGTGTCCACACCTACATGAAATCACCTCCGATAACACAAGATTCTCCAGCTTCCCAGGTTTGATGCTTAAGAGGCAATTTGAGATTCTGCCTCCTTATTCACTCCTCACTGTCATGCTTGTGTCACTGCCTGCTGCCCTCATCTTAGAAAACCTATTATACTTGTCTGTTTCTCAGAGGTTATTCTACTGCAATAATGTATAAACTCTAATCATAGCAGCAAGCCAGACAGACATTCTGCTCAGGTGGCCTCTACTCACAGAATTGCAGGAAGGTTCTATAGATTGCTCTCCACCATATAACTGACCTTATCGCTTGAGAATGATACAATAAAACATTTTCATAGGACAAAATATCCATGTTAATGGCAAATAGAACAGAGGATCCAATAACGTTAAAATGGTGAAAAACCTGCATATACAAAGGGCAGTTTACTTGGAAAAAGAAAGTCCATCTCACCTGGTATCTTGGGTGGTGCTCCTCTATCTCCATATCCTGAAGCGAAGAAGAAGAAAAAAAAAAGCATTTAAAAGGTTTATGTAGCAGAATGTCCCCATTTCTTTGCACTATCCTATTTAAAACATGATTCTTACCCAGTTCTGGAGGAATAACCAGCTTCCTTTTCTCTCCCTCGCACATTCTGCAAAATAAAGTAAAGCCTCAGAATGAAATGATGTTTACTGTATCACAGTGACACTCAATGATCCTTCATATACTAATTCGGTGAGTTTATTATTGTGTGGAGATCAGGGGGTGCTAGAAAAATGCTTTACAAAATAATAATTTTGTTGCAATAAAAACATTAAGGGCTTGTTCACACCAAGCGCGGAGCAGATCCAGAGCAGGTGCAGAACGGATCAAAACTGCGTCCAATGTATTCCAATGGTATTTTTAGCTCCAGTTCACATGGCAGCGTGCAGTTGCAGAGCAGATCCAGAGCAGGTGAAAAAACTGCAGCAGGCCCTATTTTACCTGCTCTGGAACGCATCAAAAACGCATGCCAATGCCTGCAACACACTGAAAGCCCATTTTAAACTTACCAAAAAGAGCCCGGAACGCATCAAAAACTCGTCAAAAAACGCGCCTAAAAGACTAGCGTGTGTGTGCAGAAACCTGACCGGATCTGCTCTGCATTTGGTGTGACCAAGGCCTAAACAAATAAAGCAACAGCAGGCCCCAGTTTTGAAGAGACAATCGAGACACTTGCATAGAATAGGTACAAACAACGCTGATTACAACAGACCTAGTGGAAATATAATGCAGAGGGCAGCAACAATATAACACTGCACCTTTCATGTAGAAAGAAATAATACATATAAAACTGGAGATAAAGTTAGATTTTTTTTTTTATTTGAAAAAAAAAATCATTTTTTAAAGCCGTAGATATAGATATAGATCTAGATATATATAAAAATCGATTAGATCAATTTTGCTGATTGATTTGAACTATAGTGACCAAAGAAAAGGTAATTTTTTTACTCTCGAACAAATTAAATTCTAACAGTGAATGTGGTTATCAGGGAAACTCCATTCATTCCAAAATCGAATGTTAAAGTCAAACAGAATTTCAAGAGACAAATAATGAAGTCTCTAATGGCATTATCCAATGTTCTGATGACATTTTTTGTAGGAATGTTCACAAGAAATTCTAACGGTGTAAATCCAGCTTGAAGTAGAATAGAACTGAAGCCAAAAACTTTTTTTTTTTGTTAGAATAAGTTTTAACCCCGGTCAGCTTTTTATTGCCATTCATTTCCCATTGGGGAGATTTCTTTTCACCTCCTGTCTGAAAGCCACAACAGGAAGTGAGAGGAAATCCCTGGTGGTCAGCAGAGTCATCGGAACTAGATTCCCCATTGGAAGATTTCCCGATAATGCAAACATTTTAGATTTTCTCTCACTGATAACATTCACCGAGACAAACAGAGGATGAATCTCCATAAAGGTGACACAGACCGGTGTTTTAATCCCATACCACTAAAAAAAAAAAAAAAAAGAAGTTTAGCTTCAGTTGCACTTGCAGACCCTTCAAACTACGGATAAAAGGTGGATGGGCATAGAATTTCTGTTTTTGAATCGCTACCACGTTACAGTTCAATGTAAAGTGATCCCAGACCAATGCAAGTGGATGGTAGTCACAATGCAGCATGTCTATTCAAACACTTTTACATAGTATTTGAGGTTGAATAAAGACATTAGTCCATCAAGTCCAACCTATTAGGATCTAAAAGGAGGCGAATGGCAACTGCCAGGAAAATGGTGATCAGGTAAGTAAAATACTTTTACACAGCTCCCCCAGACAAGAATGAGCAGTTAAACCTTGCAGTTCACTACAAGGGAAGATGTATTCCCCCTTTAAATAGGCTGACCCTGAGTTAGCAGTACTGCACAAAATACAAAACATTTCTACTTTCCTGTCCCTAGACCTACCACTGAAATAATACAAATCACATCATAGCAAGGTAAATGTCACTGAGTACAATTTAGGCTACAGCAAAGCAGCCTGTACTAGGAGAGGGATGTGATATTTTCCAGTGGCTTTCTGCAGCACTGTAAAGCTTCAGATTGACTATAGAGTAAGGCCCCATTCACACTGAGCGACATGAAAATCGCGTGATTTTGAGCGATATTGAGCGACGTATCGCGCAACTTTTTCCTATTGGGCTGTATGCAATCAGGAGCAATATCGCTCGAAAAAAGGGTCATGTAGGAGCGACAAGCTACCAGCGACGAGCTACGAGATGTGAACAGCTCCATTGAAATAGATTGGAGAAGCTACATAGAGCGATATCACGCGGAAATATGAGCGATATCGCTGCAAAAATCGCTCGATAAATCGCTCAGTGTGAATGGGGCCTAACAGTAGTGTGTACCATCATTAGGGTCGGTCAGTGTTCTTCATAGAACACAGTGACCTGTACTTATTGTCAGCCTTAGAAAAGGGAGTCCATTTGTTTAGGTCCTCTTAATCTAGTCCCCTGGATTACACAGTATGGCACTGCCCCAAGAAGAATGCAACACCCTTTAATAAACATGATTTATGAAATATTTATCTTTGTAAAATATATGAATTGTATTAATTTGCAATATTTCATACTTTTTCAGCCAGCAGATGGAGCTTTCTGCTACTGTTCATATATTGAGATATTAGGGATGCGCCGATACCAGTTTACAAAGCTCAATATTTCAAAGGGCAATTTACATACAAAATTGACAGAGTCATGCCAGTGACTATTGCCTTATAGCAGGGGTGGACAAACTGTAGATACAAAGCCCTATACTGGCAGTGTACCAGCCTGCTTCATGTGAACAAGAATGCTTTTTTATTCTTTGCACAAAGCAAAATGTGTTTCAGCGTTGAGAAATAGAGGTTACAATCAGTGTCCAGGAAACAGTCAGTGTGAAAGTAGCAAGTCTATAAATAAGATTGATGGACAAAAATCCGTGCATTGCAAAATTACACTGGTACCCGTCAAAAGTCCCTTTTGAGAAATGTCTCTTTTTTGAACACTTAAAAGTGACATTAAACCCTCAGATTTTTTAACATAAAATACTGTAATGTGTGCCTTACTGTAATCCATGGTTGTTTCCCTTCTCTTTGCTGCTCTTCCTTTTAAATCCTCATGTCTTCTCATGCTTGGGGAGAACTTCCCTTTGCTCTTCCTGTAGTGCTGGCTCAGGTTACAAACCTATACACAGACACCATGTATCTATTCCAGAGACAAGGCAGTCTGCTGCAAGACAGAAGTTCTGCCCCAGCATGAGAAGACATGAGGATTTAAAAGGAAGAGCAGCAAAGAGAAGGGAAACAACCATGGATTACAGTAAGGCACACATTACAGTATTGGTTTATGTTAAAAAAATCTGAGGGTTTAATGTCACTTTAATATTATAATGTATGGGTTCGGTTATACAGAAATGGAGTTAAAGAGCAACCCCAAGTAGACACCTAAATACAGATGACATACATATTTCAGGGAGCTGTTTTACCAATCACAATGTTTGCATTTCTGCCCATACCATTCTGAGATTTACACAACCCTTCCAAGCGGAGGAAACCACTTTCTCTGTGGCAGCTATTGACTGTAGAAGGGATACAATAATTGTGTCCTATGTTATATAATTGTCCTGTCGCACTCCTGACAAATAAGGATCTTATTGGGTGCTGAAATGACTGTGGATAGCGCTGCTGTAATCCAAGACAGAGTACGTCACCAGCACACCGAGGAACTTGGTCCAAAACGCCTGTATCAAAACACTGTGGTCAAACAGCAACGTTACGGGACCACGCATCATTATGCCCTGTGTGGTCCCGAGATGTTGTAGGGCTGCAACTAATGATTGTCATAAATCGATTAGTTGGCCGAATAAATCGTATAAAAAAAATAAACATCCTTTACTTAAAATGAAATACGCAAATTCAGTGTTACAAACAGAATAAAACTACATGCACAATTTTTTGCAAATCGCACTACACTGGAAAGCACGTCATTGCGGTACAGTGCAGGTGATCACACTGTGGGTGGGAGGAGTGTTTAGAGTGCCACTGAAATGAATGGCACTGCATCGCACTACCCGCAGCAGAATTTGTCAGGCCGAAACCGAAAATGACTTTTTCCCACCTTTTATAATTTTTTTAAATAAATGTATTGTAAGCACATGGCGCTGGAATAGCTCCAGCCAGGAAATGACAGCTGCCAGTGGCAAGATTCCACAGATGGCAGCTGAATGTAAATACAGCAGGTAGTGGGCTGGTGCAATAACCAGCCTTCTATTGGCCATTTTCAAACTGCAATAGCAGGCTGGTTATTGCACCCGCCCACTGCTTGCTGTGCTCTCCTCCCAGCATGGAGGAGAGAGATAAGGGATCCAACCAACTAATCGATAATGAGAATAGTTGACAACTATTCTCATTATCGATTCTCTATTGATTGATTAGTTGGTTGCAGCCATACCACAATGTTTAGATGTCGATAAAGGCATTTTGGAATAAGATCCACAGTGTTCTGGTGACATACTCTGTCTTTCTTCACCCTTCATCTACTGATTGGACAGTAAAAAAGCATAGGCAACCTATGAGTCATCTCTCCATCACTTTGCTCTCCTGCAATTATGTTCCTTTCCAGCACATTTGCCTGCACCACACCTGCCTGGCTCCTGCTGCTTTCCCAGATAGAGTGCTGCTGTATAGGGATTACGAGGGGCCAATACCAAGTGAGATTCTTAGAATCACACCAGCCACATTAACCCCCCCCCCCCCAACAAAAACCAATGATGTAATAATGAATAGAAATCTGCATTAACGGTGTGTATTTTATACCTGCCTGGAGTTCCTCTTTAATAATCTAAAAGCTGTACATGGAAGGGATATAAAACCTAGACATTAAAAACTGTACCTGAACCCAACAATAAATGTCTCTTATTTGCACCTCTTTGGTATGTTAAATATATTGTTAAACGCATTTTAATATATCTGTTCAACAACTACAAAAACATACCCACTGAGTCTGCAAGAAATCAAGTGCTATCCTGTGTCCACTGCAGTTTTGTTGCAAGCAGTGTTATCAGCCCTGCCAAGCGTATGTCTGAACTACATCATCATGTTATACAGATGAGAAGAGGGGTGGCAGTTGTAGCACTAACACTTCCAGTCCCAGGGTGGCAATGCTGCTGGTCTATAGATATAGTACAGTGAGTTTGCATTGTCTCCCTAGGGCAGGAAGCTACTGGCAGGATCACCAGGTAAAACATAGTGGAAACGCCTGGAAAAAGAAAACAAATGCAGCCAACTCATGTAAAGACTAATAGGCTGCAATACATTTGTTGGTGGCTATGTAAGAAGCAATGGCTGATTATCTGGCAATATGCTACATATAGACCAGCATTTCAGTCTTTTTTCAGTTATGGCACCTTTTAAAAGTATGCAAAATATTAAGGCGGCACCACCCCGTCTAAAATCTAGCCAATATAAAGAATGCGTGGTCTCTCCTAAAATCGATACCAGACCCTTATCCTAGACAGGGGTCTGGTATGCAGTTTAAGTGGGACAATTTAAATGCACCCCTGACAATGGCAGAAGGCACCCTGGTTGAGAAAGGCTGATATAGAGTAAACAGAGAAAACTAGTTGGTGGTATTGCTCTTCTCTAGGGCTGCAACAACTAATCGACATAATCGATTATTGAAAAAGTTGTCAACTTTTTACCTCACAAATAAAGCAGATTCTGTGCCATTCCCTCCGCTGTCTGTGCTAGGCACACAAGAGGCCTCTATATCAGCCATACTCCATGCAGGTGGCAGAACAGTCTGTGCTCACTTAGTCCAGACTGCACAGAGGGAACAAAAAACAGAGTTTCCAGCCACAAATTAAACCACTTACAACAGAAGGCTTGGAAAACTAAGCCAGATCAATGAAATCTAGACGGGTGCTAATTAAAAGGCATTTGCGATTCGCCCTTCCCTTCAGTGAGGAGACAGGAACACAGACACTCAGAATGGCAAATGAATGCAAATGTAGTCTGGTCTGTCACAATAAATCATACATATTAATCCGCTTGCTATATTAATCCGTTAAATCTCTTTGAGACTAAGGAAGTCTCCAATATCATGTGACAAAGCCCAGACAAGTCACGTAGAATAAAATACGCGGTTTTCACTTCATTTACATTAGATAGGAAGCGGCATCTACACAGGGGGGCGCAGATGTGGACTTTTCTACATCTAGGAGATTAGGTTATCTATAAAAGTCTTCCTTCCAGATCATTAACAATCTGCATAAAAATGTGAATCGTTTAGAACAGAAAGGAACGGTGACCCCAATCCTCCTCCTCCCTCGCACACTGCGCCCCAGGTATCAGATGGTAATAATTTCTGACAGCTATTTAGCAGTAACAAAGCTCCACACAAAAAGCTTGATGGTGCAGTACGAAGATGGCACACCCTGCTGGTGAAAAAGGAAACATGCAGATTGAATGGAGCTTGGCAGGACAGCAAGATTTCCAACTAAATAAAAGGATTTCCGTGTGATCTGCTGCAAATATTGACATTGACAACATTTAATAGTGGAATAACCTTATGTAAATTATACAACATACTTTCTATTTAACTCTTCGCTTATTGCATTCTACTGCCCATTTGACCTTAGTGCGTATGGTAGTACATGCATGTCCCACTAAGAAGCATTTCAATGTGTGTATGACACACACACACTTCAATGCCCATTGCAAATCAGGTTTATTACAAACAACTGAAAGTGTGTAAACAGGGATGCACCGATAACAGTATCTAGTACCGATATTATTTTGTTTCGGTACTCGCCGATACCGAAAGTCCCATTAAGGAAGTCAGGCGCCGTGTAAAGACTCACCACCCGGCTTCCCAATTAGCAGGGAAGCCGTCCCCATGCTTCTTGTCACTAGGTGGCCAGCAAGCATGGAGCCGGCTTTCTGGCCAATCAGGAAGCTGGGCGCCGTGTAATGACGCAGCGCCCGGCTTCCTGACTGGCCGCGAAGCCGGCTCCGTGCTCCCTCGTCATGAGGTGACGAGGGGGCATGAAGCCGGCTTCACGGCCATTCAGGAAACCAGGCAGCGTGTAATGACACGCTGACCGGCTTCCTGATAACGGAAGTATCGGGCTAGGCATTGGAGCATTTGGGCGAGTACGAGTACTCGCCCAAATACCCGTCATCGCCACCAATACTAGTATTGGTGCATCCCCATTTGTAAATATTGCCAATAAACCCGATTTGCAATGGGAGTTGAATAATTTTGATTACAATGGTAGTTCTGTCAATGTAATAACAATAATAATAATAATAAGTGTTGTTTATGCTCCCCTCTGATCCATGCATAAAATGTCTTGTATTCAGTTCACATTCTGTGACAGAACAAAGGGAGACGAGGGGGCCAATAAACCACCTCCTCTTGTCCAAAAACAGAACACTTTGTAATCTGCGAATAGAGTACAGAGCAGCAGAACTTGAAGATCACAGCCAACAGCCGTGTCTGACATGAATCCAACTCAGATTTGTTTTTAGCATCCCCAGCAGCCATCTGGACATTAAAGGTAACTTAACTGGACCAATCAAAAAAGGAAAGTTACACTTTAACGGTAATGTCATAGGCAGCAATACGGGTTCCTAGGCAATGAATATTTCCAATGTCAAGAGATCATCTGACAAGGCAGTGGTCAGTGCTTTGCCCAAAAATATGTACGATATATTTCTACAATCTAGATCCAGCATAAGATATAAAAGGTCATTCCCATACACCTAGTCCTATAGTTCCCTATAGCAGGTATATTTCAAACTTTTAACATTTGTTCCTGATTTGATGATAAGCAGGGCTATATTTTATATGCTTCTATAGTGCAAGAGTCAGTTTAACAGTTGAGTGACAGGTTCTCTTCTATGTACTCTGCAGCAAGCTGTGCAGTCTATGAGAATTTGGTATGTTATTACTGCAGGTTTATGCTGCGCTCACTTATCAGCGTCTAGCGGCAGAACTATGTGGGTTATCTGGGCAGGAATGCGACACATTGGCAGGTGAACTCGTGGGAGATATAAACACAGCTCCATATCTTTAGGTTGTGCTGGCTTCTGTTTAGGATTTCTGTCACGATTGTTACTTTTTAGCAGTTTTCAGTCAAATCAAAAAGAATCTCAAATAGGACACCAGTTTACCAAGAACAGACGGCATATTCCATACCATCTATTGCTGCATTTGTCAAGTGAACTATGTAGATAAAAGATTGGTAGAAAAAAAAAGCCTATACAAGAAAATGAATATATAGTCTTTTGGAAGTTCTTAAATCTGAATCTAATTATCTTAAAAAGGAGAATTATGAGGCGAGTGATTTTCACTCAGCCTCATAATCTGAGCCGACCTGTGACAATGAAACGGTCACAGGTCGGCTCAGTAGATCGGGAAGTGAGCAAACACATACGGTCGTTCGCTCACTTCTTGATCTATCCCTGTAGAGCCGTGACTGTCACTCACGGCTCCCTGCAGGGATCCCCCCTGATCCTCCAGTGCTGACTGGAGGAACGGACGGGGGAGGGGCAGACACAGCTGGCTCTGCCTCTAGATAGGCAGAGACAGCTGTCAATCCCGCACAGCTGGGAGGATCAACAGTAATGTCGGGATCCGCCCCGGCGTCTCAGTACACCGCGAGCTGTAGCTCGCGGTATACTGAGCTTTGGGTGACGGGAGGACGCTAGTTTGTGTCCTCCGGTTACCCTTAGGTGAACTATGGGGAAAAGCCCTGACCCCATAGTTCTCATTTAATGAAAGTTTTATCAATGTGAGCGAATCCTTTATGAAACGATTTAGTTTTTAACTTGTATGCAAAGTGATTGTTTTATCCTCATAGGAAGCGGGGGGAAAAAAAGGAGTCCTGTCAACAGCAATCAACACACCCCCAACCATAAATGATACTGGTTATAAGGGGTCAAATAAAAGTATCCATCCATTATAAACACTATCATTCTTTAGTAATCAGTGTTTATTTAGTTCAGGGCATAACAAGTTACAAGGACACAAAATGTCTATCAGGACCAACAGGGATTTTTCTGTACCTGCTGAAAATTTTCTTAGCCTGAAAAAAAGAAAACAAATGCAGCCGTCATAACTGATAACTTCCTGCGTCCCCATGTTATGAATCGAAGGATAGGGAGAGGTCTTCGCTAGTCCTAAAACTCTTCTAGTCCTCAGCTGACAAAGCTGCTCCACCACAGATACAATATAGCAGCCTAGGACAGGAAGAGTCCTATTGGTAGAACAACCAAGTGAAAATAAAGGAAGAAAGAATTCCGAAAAAGAAAACTAGTGCAACCACCACATCTAAGGTCTGGTAAATTGCTATATAGTACATTTATGTTCTTGGGTTTAGATACACACTCCAAGAGAAATGTTTACAGAATGTCAAGCTGCTAGAATTCTAGTGAAACATTAATACGGTCATTGTAAAGATAATGAGGAAAGTGAAACATTACTAGAGTACATTATACCAAGATAGGAGATTTTGGTTAGAACCTTACATTGAAACAAAAATATTATATCAAATTTTAATGTATTTTAAAAGGTATGAAGAAAAAAGTAACAGCGTCCTGTAACATAATAAAGGTTATGAAAATGAAATGTAATAGGACGTAAAACCAAAGGATTCTTGTTTTGAATTCAGCACTAGTAGTTTAAAACACAGGACATGCGTGCTACATGTCTCAAACCTCCAAGCTCAATCTAATACTTATCACCCCAACAAACCCATCTTACCTGTATGCTAAAAAAGCAAAGATAACTATGGGGTAAGTGTGTTTCCCCCATAATTCTCCTAAGGGTTACAGGAAGGCATATACTAACCTCCTCCCATGACCCAAAACTCAGTATATTGCAGAATATTGTACGCAATATACTGAGGGTGCCACAGCCGTGACAGATCCCGACAACACTGTCAAAATTCACCCAGCTTCATGAGTGACAGCAGGCTCTGCCTATCTAGAGGCAGATCGTGCTGTGCCCGCCCCTCCCCCAATGCGTTCCTCCACTCAGCGCTGGAGGTTTGGAGAGGGGAGGGATTCCTGCGGGGAGTGGTGACTGACAGTCACTGCAGGGAGACGATCGAGAAGTGAGCAGATCGGCCGCATGTTTCTGCTCACTTCCCGGTCAATAAAGCCCACCTGTGACAGCTTCTTTGTCACAGATCGGCTCTAACTATGAAAATGAGTGGAAATCACTCACCTCCTAGTTAATCCTTTAACATAGACCCGAACATTAAGCCTTAAACTGGACCTAATATATGCAGAGAGCAGGGACACAAGACTGGAAGGACTCACTAAGGTGTCTGATGTGCAGGCAGTGGCTAGCAGCCTGGCTTTACCTTCTCCGTATTGGGACAAGATGGCAGCACCCAGAGAGGGAATAACTGAATAGTTCAGCTGCATAGTTTGTATTTGGCATCACCTTCTGCAAATACTCGCCAAAGAAACTGTTGATTTATTCTTCCACAAGCACTTAAAGGAGAACTATACTTTGAATACAGTTATCTTCTCATTAAAAAGTACCCCCAAAAGTCTTTCACTTAACTGTCCCTCTTCCTCTGTTATTGTTGCTTTGCAGCTTACTGGGAACGGCTTCAGAAGTCTACTCATCCTTCTCCTGTGCACAGACTCATGCACTCTCTGCTCATTCTCATGGGAAGGCCATTCATCATTTGTTCCAATGGTGGATAGCCTTCCCAAGGGAATAGATGGAAATTATGCTGTTCAGAAGACATCTGAAGCAGCAGATGCTGCCAGCAGGCCACACATTGAAGATCTCAGAAGGGTAAAATAAGACATGAGGGGGAAAGATCAGATCTAAACCTAACTCTTAAAATGAACACAGGTCCTAACTAAATACAAAAGTCTCAAACCCCCAAAACCTAGATCTTAGCTTAACCCAACTTGTAACACCAACGTAAACCTGGAAAACCTGCAGTGACCTTCTCAGGCCCCTAAATTTTCTGTGCCAAAAGTGCCCTCTCCTGCCCTGCGATGTACCAGAATGCTGACCACCAAGATAATATAAAGTGCAAGTTAACAAAACCCAGAAACATGCTGGCAGGTTTATTGGCTTCTGCCTAAACTGACCTTAACAAATTTCTATATAGGACTGCGATAGGGGCATTTGATTGAAATTTCGTCCGCCAAAATATTTCACCCGGCAATGGTACTTTGGGCAAAATGCCAAGTACCATAGCAGCCGAAAATGTGGATGAAAATTCAGTGCATCCCGATTACTTCTCTGCTCCCCACTGGGCGCCTCTCTGTGTCTCCTCCGATGCCTGCTGCTCCCTCCCACCTATGTCGGCAGATGCAGCAGAGTGGACACAAACAGGTGCCCAGCGGGGACGAGACAGCTCAGGATCCAAAGCAGTGGGCGGAGACCGCTATCACAGGAGGAGTGCCATCCTCCCACACCTTCCCGCTCGGCTCTGACAGGCAGAGAATCAGGATGGAGAGCAGGAAAGCAATGAGCTCTCCTCCCGCACCGCCTGGTCTCCTGTGACAGGCGATGAAGAGCAGCTTACAAGCACTAAGCGATCAGCCGATTACTAAATGTTTGTAAATAACCGAGGACATAGTATGCGGTGTCCCCAGTTATGAATGAAGTGCTCCACATCACTTCCAGTTCATTCATGATTGTGGACATAGTAACTCATAACTCATATACTATCTATAATTGAAAGAGGTTGGGGGGGGGGTCATTTTCAGTTTTGCCCTGACAAATTTTTTAGTTTGTCTGAGAATTCCATTTCGGTGCATCTCTAGTAGGAACTCATGTAAATGGTTCAATTTTTTTTCTCAAATACTGCAGAATATATTACATCACATAAATGGAAAACATATGATATTGGCCAGACAACATACCCCAGCAGACCTTGGTCCCAGCCCTTAATGACCTGTCCGGCGCCTAGAGTGAAGGTGAAAGGTTGATTTCTGGGTATGCTGCTATCAAACTCTGTGCCATCTTCCAGCTTCCCCTGTAAACAGACACAAATGCACATTAGAGATCACAATACTGTACCATCTAGTTATATAATGCATGCAACATACAACTCACTAATATGGCATTTTTTTTGCAGAGAAATGACGCTATCGCATCAGAAAACCCACAGATGCTCCACTGCCAGAAAAAAATGTATGATAATTGACCAGTCTTTGCGAGTCTATTGACACTACCCAATTTTGTTTCGTACCTGTACAAAAATTATGTATGCAAAACCCTGTGTAGCCAATGCACAGTCTATACTCCAACATACACTTATTATTTTTACATTCCTTCAGCTGTGTCCTTACACAAATTAACCATTCTCCTTACAACAATTTGTTGTCACGCTAGACAGAACATAATTGTTCCTTTTTCATGAATTTTTTAAACACAACATTCTCTTGTGATGTTTCTTCTCCCCGTGCTTAATGTGATAATAATGTGTGAAGAAGAATCCAGCACGTTAAACACTAGAAACGGGTACCTTTCCAGTACAGTTCCAGTGCCAATACCAAGATCAATCAGCTATAGATACTACACGATCCTCAATCATCCTAAAATCAGCACTTCTCTATGACCCTCTGAACATTTCACCTCCTCCCAAATTTGTAATTCCTTACAATGAATGTCCTAAAGGAAATATAGTGTTGTTCAATATATTGTTTCTGTAGCCCACTAAAACAATTCTAATTCTTGCTTTAACATTTCCCCCACTCGCCTGTGCAGATGCTTCTAGTGCTCATATATTCTTAGATTACCTTACATGCACTTCAGGTTTGAGATCTATCAATAAATATTCAAGTCTGGGGACTGTGGAGGCTATTCCATAACCTTGAAGCAAACCAGTACATAAGACAAAAGTGTAAATCTAGCAGAAACACGTATCAGACAGCACAAGCCATCAGTCCATGCCTCACGTTGTAGTTTCTGCACTTCTTGGTATAAGGAATCACCCCGTCCTTCCATTGCACAATGCAAATACCTGATGCCCAATTGGCATACCAGCAGGCCGGTTTGCGTCGCTCTATTAGCACGGAAGGTTTTTCTTATGCCACTGACTACTACCTGCTGCTAATGCAACTTTGGCAAAGTTGTGCACAGAGTCCCATTCATTATATTTTATAAAACAATTCCTGGTTGATTGTACAATACTGCATGTTAGGATGATTTTGAGCTTGTCAGTTTTAGTTTCTTCACCAAATGGAGTATTTTTAGCAGTGAGCCCCAAGTTAGGCCAAATTTATAAAATCATGGAGCCTGCAGTGTGTCAATGAGTTCTCTGACAGTGCTGCAGAGGGAACTTCATGGTAATTGCGCTCCACTTTCTTCCGAGTTCTGAAGCCAGCAAAAAGCAATGCACATTAGTAATGCCCACTGGTAAGGCATACCACTGTTTTATAAATGGCCCCCCCGGGTTTAGAGTCCATTCTGTTTTCTACCTACCCATAAACATTAGGCATAATAGTTGGCAAGGTGCTTTTTTTTCTCTTCAAATGTATATTTCGTGTTTAAGTCACTTGTTTTGATCAGACGGCAACTCTTACTTATAGACCAGTTAAGTTGTATACCTCAGACCTTGGCTTTTGTAAAGAGATTAAAAAGGTAAAGGTTTACTTCTGATCACGTCTGTGTAAGCAACAATGCAAAGTGCATTGATGCAACATTACTTCTGTGCCTGATGCAGCTTCCTAAAAGTCCTTTGATCAAGTAGGCAAAAGCAAACCCCCCCACATATCACTGAAGGCTATGGGTAGCCCAAGCAGACATTTCTGCTCAACTTGATACAACTAAGGCTAAGTTCACACATAGGCGATTGAGCTGGTGAGCTGTTTTCGTGTGGTTTTCAATGCATAGAGATGTCTATAGGACCCAAACCGGGGCGACAACCACCCGAAAATAGCTCCTGCACCTTTTTGCGCGACAGGCAATTTCTACCGCGTGACAAAAATCGCAAAAGGTGTGAACAGCTTCCATAGACTTGAATGCAAATCTCTGTTTAAATCCACGCAATAAATTGCCTAGGTGTGAACCTAGCCTTAGACCAGGGGTGTCCAAACTGCAGCCCCCCCAGCTGTGGTGGAACTACGAATCCCATGAGGCATTCCAAGATTCTCACAGCCACAGACATGACTCCCGGAGAGAGATGAATCATGGGATTTGCAGTTTCACCACAGCTGGAGGGCCGGAGTTTGGACACCCCTGCCTTAGACATATCAGCCACACAAGGAGTGCATTGTTTTCAGCTAGGCGACTGAGACCTGCATTGAGTAAAAAAGAACCACTCTGCAGCATGTCATAGCAGAAAGCAGGTCCTGCATATGTAGTCAGTACACATGGCTGCCTCCAGAAAAATAATAATAAATGAGAGAGAAATATATATATATTCCCCATAAACTAAACATACAAGCAAGGTTTTTAATAGGGATGCACCAATACTGATACTATTATTGGTAGGGATGCACCGATATATATATCGGCCGCCAAAACATATCGGCCGAAAATTGCACTTTTGGCATAATGCCGAAAGAGCCATGTTTCGGCCGATACATCGGCACATGGGTGGTTTCTTTTCTCCCCGCTGGGCGCTGTTCCAGCGCGGAAGAAAAGAAAGTGACAGCCGGCCGAGCGCTGCGAGCGGCCGGCGTCTCTCCTCCCACACCGCTCAAAAGCCTATCACAGTCCAGCAGAGCGGTGTGGGGGCGGAGACAGCGCTGTCACAGGAGGCTGGGCTTTCCTCTCTACACCGCTCGATCAGCCTCCAGTGACAGCGTGTCAGAGAGAAAAGCAATGTACACATACTCAGTGATCACCGTACATAATTGAGGATATGGTATGTTAACTATAGCCTCAATTATGAATGAATGGGAGTGATCTGCATCACCCCCATTCATTCATAATTGTGGTTATAGTAAACAATGTTCTCATGTTATCAATGAACAGGAACACTCAGAGGATTCCTGTTCATTGATAACAGGGGACACAGAAAAAGAGATTTAGGACTCTGTGTTCTCAATCTCTTTTTCTATTTTAAAAGGGAAATATCAGGGGTCTGTTTAGACCCACAATATTTCCCCGAAGCCCCTAAAAGTAAAGTAAAAAAAAAATATTTAATAAAAAAATGAATATAAAACTTTTTAAAAAAAGTTTATAAAAATAAAATATTGAAAAATAAAAAAACATTTTCGGTATCGTTTTTGGCCTGACATTTTTTTTATTTCGGTTTCGTTTCCGTTTTAAAATTTCCATTTCGGTGCACCTCTAATTATTGGTATCGATACCGAGTATTTGGGTGAGTACTCGTCCAAATGCTCCGATACTGGAACTTGTGGTCAGAGGGAGATTTCCTCTGACCAGCAGTGCCGCAAGGGAACATAGAGCCGACTTCCTGGCCAAATCAGGAAGACGGGCCACGGGTAATGACTTGCGGCCCATCTTCCTAATTGGCTTCCCGGGCAATCAAGAATCTGGGCAGTGGCCAATGACACGCTGCCTGGCTTCCCGATTGCTCGGGAAGCCGACTCCATGCTACCAGAAGTACCGGTATAGGTACTCTGCATCGGCGAGTATGGAAATATAAAATCGGTACGCGATACTGAAAAACCGGTATCCGTGCATCCCTAGCTTTTAATACATTAACACACTGGCTAAAAGTTAAACTAGCTCGTCCCTGCACATGCATATACACAAAACTAAAAAAATTTAAAGATTACACATTGCCTTCAACCACCTCCCGTCCGCCGATCGTTGAAAGACGGCCGGACGGGAGTCTCCTGGATGCGGGTGGGCGTCTTTAGACGTCCTTCGTGCCCCCTGGCGCGCACGAGCCAGGATTTTAAACGGCCAGCGATGGTCATTTACATACAAGCAGCCCGGCGTCTGTAAAGACGCCCGATCGCTTGAATGATGCAAGTGAGGGTGCGCCCCCCCCTCCTTGCCTCTGGTCACCGTCGCTGTCCCCGCCACCGCCGTCCCGGGGCGTCCATCCGGTTCGGGCAATGTCTGTGCACTGAGAACGGAGGGAGATCACGACCCGACCTCCCTCCGCTCTCTGAATGCAGGAAGTGATGTATATTACATCACTTCCGCATTCCTCTGTCACTCTCCGGTACAGAAAATGGAGAGAAGCTGATGAAGCAGATCTGTGCTTCATCAGCTTCTCTGGGGGTCCCTAGGTGACATTAGGGGTCTTAGAGACCACTGATGTCTCTATAAAGGGGACCCGTCACTGTAATTTGTTATCACATTGGGTACTTTTTAGCACCCTATGTGATAACAATAAAGTGTAAAAAAAAAAAAATTGCACGCACACAAAACAAAAAAAAACCCACAAACATTTTTTCAAGTCCCCCACCCACACATAAATGCGCAAAAATGCATTAGATGCGCATACACGCAAAAACGACGATTGTTCCAATTATGCCGCACGTGTTACATATCGCCACGAATGTCGCAATAATTTCAGGGCCACCAATCACTTATAACACTAAACTGATGAGCGGTAAAATCTTTTAAAGCATCGTCAATTTTGGCTATGGTGTTTTTTTTTTGCGATTTCGCGGGCGCGCGCAATTTTAAGGCTTGACATGTTTGGTGTCTATTTACCCGACCTTTTATATTTTAGCGAAAAATTGGGTAAAAATAAATATTTCTTAAAATAATAAAGGGAAAACCATTTTGTTTTTTAAATATTCAGTACTTTTTTTGTTATATAGTAAAAAATAAAAACCCCAGTGGTGATTAAATACCACCAAAAGAAAGCTCTATCTGTCCCCCAATAATGGTATAAAATTAATTTCAGTACAGTTTTGCATGACGGAATAAAGGTCAGCCAAAGTACCGCAGCGCTGAATACTGAAAAATGGCCTGGTCAGGAAGGGGGACGCCGATCGTTGAAAGACGGCCGGACGGGAGTCTCCTGGATGCGGGTGGGCGTCTTTAGACGTCCTTCGTGCCCCCTGGCGCGCACGAGCCAGGATTTTAAACGGCCAGCGATGGTCATTTACATACAAGCAGCCCGGCGTCTGTAAAGACGCCCGATCGCTTGAATGATGCAAGTGAGGGTGCGCCCCCCCCTCCTTGCCTCTGGTCACCGTCGCTGTCCCCGCCACCGCCGTCCCGGGGCGTCCATCCGGTTCGGGCAATGTCTGTGCACTGAGAACGGAGGGAGATCACGACCCGACCTCCCTCCGCTCTCTGAATGCAGGAAGTGATGTATATTACATCACTTCCGCATTCCTCTGTCACTCTCCGGTACAGAAAATGGAGAGAAGCTGATGAAGCAGATCTGTGCTTCATCAGCTTCTCTGGGGGTCCCTAGGTGACATTAGGGGTCTTAGAGACCACTGATGTCTCTATAAAGGGGACCCGTCACTGTAATTTGTTATCACATTGGGTACTTTTTAGCACCCTATGTGATAACAATAAAGTGTAAAAAAAAAAAAATTGCACGCACACAAAACAAAAAAAAACCCACAAACATTTTTTCAAGTCCCCCACCCACACATAAATGCGCAAAAATGCATTAGATGCGCATACACGCAAAAACGACGATTGTTCCAATTATGCCGCACGTGTTACATATCGCCACGAATGTCGCAATAATTTCAGGGCCACCAATCACTTATAACACTAAACTGATGAGCGGTAAAATCTTTTAAAGCATCGTCAATTTTGGCTATGGTGTTTTTTTTTTGCGATTTCGCGGGCGCGCGCAATTTTAAGGCTTGACATGTTTGGTGTCTATTTACCCGACCTTTTATATTTTAGCGAAAAATTGGGTAAAAATAAATATTTCTTAAAATAATAAAGGGAAAACCATTTTGTTTTTTAAATATTCAGTACTTTTTTTGTTATATAGTAAAAAATAAAAACCCCAGTGGTGATTAAATACCACCAAAAGAAAGCTCTATCTGTCCCCCAATAATGGTATAAAATTAATTTCAGTACAGTTTTGCATGACGGAATAAAGGTCAGCCAAAGTACCGCAGCGCTGAATACTGAAAAATGGCCTGGTCAGGAAGGGGGTGTAAACACCCCGGTCAGCAAGTGGTTAATACACTGTTTGGCTTGCCAATATGGATATTGGATTTTTTTATTTCTAAATATGCTCAAATGTATGTACTTACTGTGTAATGCATGTTGAGGGTGTCCCCCTTACGAGATTTAATGGGGCAATTTTCCACTCTCTTCTTCACCCCAATTTGTAACTTCTTACTGCCTTCTTTACAAAAAGCTGGGGGTAGCAGAAAGAGAACAAGCAGGCACCACAAAGGTGTAAGTAAAATAGTGTTCATGATGGCGGCAAGTTGAGTTCCCAGAAGTTAAAGGTCTCACACAGTTCTATGCCCTGCAAAGGTCCAATAAAAAGGAAAAAATATACATTAGTAGTCATAGAGACACTTAAATCATAGAGACTCACAGTGATGGGGGAACATGACATGCTTAGACACAGGGATGTGATCACACCAATGTAAATGGATAAGAGGGCCCAATATATTCATTCACAATGCTACTGGTACAGATTCCTGTGGAAAATAATCATGCAGCAAACCCTGTATACAAGACAGGGAAAAAGAACTGCATAATAGGAAACAATAGGGATGTCTTTTCACGGATATAGGGAAAATATTAATCTTGTATAGTCTTCAAAAATCACAGGCTCGTGTTAGCATTGCTGCCCTCTGTCGACATGGAAGTGCAGATACGGCGACATAAGATAGTGCTGAACAAATGTGTTTGTGAGGTCTTCTCTTTCACGATAAAGATGACACTTACCTTGATTGTTGGCTCTGTTCAGAGAGTAAAACAGGTAGATTTCATGTGTTGCCCAAAAAAAGCAACAGCATCAATTTATTTTATCAAAATAGTCCCCTCCCTGCCCTATTTAAAGCACTCCTCACAGCCCTGACGGGACCCTCCCTATGTTGGGGACCCTTTAAAAAGGGAAAACATTTCCAAACCCCCCAAACACAAGATAAAAAAAAAAAAATAAGCGCATCAGCATGCAGTATACAGCACCTTCTTATAGCACCTGGATTTAGCACCTTAAATAGAAATAGGAAAGCAGCACCAGTAATCAGTTTATTGCAGTGAGACAGAGTGCACCCCAAAGTGTCTAATTAACCAAACAAGGTGACTGATTAACAATTAAATTTACCCTGATACCCTCCCCCCATCCCACTGAAACACAGACACACACAACACGCACACATAACAGTTTAGTGCCTCCCCCAATTGCTGAGGTATATGTCACCACCCTTTCTTTCTCAGGACTCCCCTTTATCTGAAACCCCTGGTTTTGCACTGTGGGGACCCCACTTTGCATTGTCTGTCACAAAATATGCCCCCCTCGGTTTTCTTGGCTCTCTGGGAACCCATATATCCTCCTCACCTAACGGCCATGCTGACCCCTGCTTTCCTGCCTCTTGGTTCCTCAGAACCCACACATCACCTCCTGAAACTTTTTGTCCTCCTCCTCTTCTCCCAGAATCCCCCTTTGTCCATTCCCTTAAAACCCACACGTCTTGTTGTTTCTGTCGTTCTGCTCTTGCTTCCCCTCGACATCCTAAAATCTGTGTTCTTGCCCCCCTTCGGTGGCCAGGTACAGCACGACAAGAGCCAGCCCAACCCTGCCACCAGTTCACCCAGTCTTGCAGTTCTGGGGTGTCTACCACTCTCCCCCCTTTCTTAGTGAGGGGCTCAGGAATATCTCCATCATCTCTTCCATTATGTCCATCGGGTCTTTCTTCCGCACGGAGAGTGCTTCTTAAAGAATAACCACACTCTTTGGACCTCTCCTCATCATCATTCATGATTTCATTTTCACCATGACTGGTGTCTTTCGTGTCCCCTAAATACAGATGGAGGCACCAGCACCATGTGCCAACTTCCTCCAAGTTCCCCCTATCCTCAACATTTACTGGCTTATCATGAGAAGGTGAAGAGCAAACCCATGTCCTAGGTTCTATATGGTGGTTGGTTAAAGGGTTGAAGTTCTTGTCCTCCATCTCACAATTGCAGTCCCTTTCATACCTTCCTAAATCATATGAAACCTCTCTGCATGCACCATGATAATTGCCCTGCTCCATCTCAGTCCCTTCTCCAGACCCGCTGGAACCATTGCCTGGACTCCTGAACTCTGAACGGTAACTACTATAAACTTCAGAAGATCCACTGTAATCTCCCTTATTCTCCAGATCACCACCTTTATGGCTCTTCATAATCTCCAGAAGACCATTCTGGTCCTTAGGAGAAAAAAGTGCTTCTTCCCCAGACCCCCGGCCATCACAGCCTTGCGTTATTGCTTTGTTCCAACTAATTTCAGGCCCCATTTTATCTTGTCTCAATTCTTTTTCTGAAACCCTTACGTATGCTGCTTCAGTCCTGCAACCGCTCAGAAAACACCGAGAACCTCCTTCACTACTAGCTTCTGCTTCAGCATCTTGCTGAGTATCCTCCTCTTCTACACTCAGCCCCCTATATAGCTCCTGAAAGCTACTCGCTTCCATTCTTTGTTGACCATCTTGGATACTCTGCTCCCTGCACACCCCGTTAGCTCTGCTTCTCTTCTTTTCTTTACTTCCTTTGTTCTTCCTTTGCCTTTTTTGAAATACTTGGCCATCAAGTTGGCTCTTCTCCGACAAATGTTTCTCTGCTTCCCCCTGGTTTCTAGGATGGCTTTCATTGCACCCTCCCTTGTGGTCCTTTACCTCACTGCCATTGCTCATATACTGCAGTACATTAGCAGGCTCTTGATGGACTATGTCTTCCCTTTCGGGTATCCTCTCTCCATCAGACTGGCTTTCACTTCTTATGTCCCCTAGACTACAGTCACTGGCCATGTCCTGATGGCCACTGGCCATGTCCTGATGGCCACTGGCCACCTCCAGTGAGGTTATCTCACCACTGTCCTTTCCCCAATATTTCTCCTCACTGGTGTAGCTCCTGGTCAGACCCTGATAAGCCTTCTCCTCCTGCAGCGAACCCGTACCATGCTGGGAACCGCTATGTACAATGCAGCCGCTGATTGTCTCCACAGAACCCCGTTCTGATGACCTCGGACTCCGTTCATCACTCATTGGAGCCTCTTGCAGGTCCCTGATCTCATCCTCTTCCTCAGCACCCTCACTGTAGCTCCCATTCCCGCCCTCAGTGCCCCCTTCCGCCCTGTCGTCACACAGACCCTCCTGGGTGCCCCTCCGGCCCATGAGCAGATCCTGAGGGCCCCTGATAACGTCCCATGTCACCCTGGCTCCTCCCCGGTGTCTTCTCCTCTCCCTCCCCCGTGCCCCGGCACCGCACTCATCCCCCGGTCTCCTCATCCCCCTTCGCCGGGACTCCTCTCCTGCCCTCACCTCTCCCCTGATCTGTCTGCACGCCGCCGCTTCACACCGACTCAACCCCTCTTCCGCATCCGTGTACGTCACCGCTTTGGCCGTCCAATCAAAGCGACGCTGCCACTCACCGGCGGTCGCCCATTGGCCAATACCTCTGTCATTGTCAAGTGATCAGAGGCCACGTCAGAACAGGGTGATGAACACCAACAAAGATAAGGGGGGCACACAGAATCTATTTCTTTACAATGAATATACAAATCTGCAGAGTGGGCAGGAATACAATCATTGTTAGTAAGAAATCGAAAACCCTAGTGGAGTATTATAGGTTGAAGAAACAAGGGGGTTTGTAAATAATCGCGAAGCTAGAGTCAAAATACTAACACCCCTAAAATCCGGGAAAAGTGGTACATTCCTGTGTCTAGACTGCTAAACCAAGCAAAACAATGCAAACCGTCAGAGAGTAACACGCTGCATGGAGATAGATTCTATAAATATACCTATAGTACAGAAAGTGCAGATCAATGGGCCAGCCTCACTCGTACAATGACACAGGCCTGAGTCTATTACTGACACAATATGGCTTCAATTCACAAGGATAACGATCCTTATTCTACAAAAAGAGGGACAGTCATATCTCAGCTCGATCCATTGAGGTTTACTAATTGCAGTCACATGGCTAGAATAAAAATCCTTATCCCGGGGTAAAGCTTTGTGAACTGAGGCTAGTAAACGATCACACCAAAAAAGTCAATAGAAAATAAAAATCTATGATCAGCCAAACCTTCCCCTTTGTCCTCCATTGACTTATAGACATGCATATAGTATTTGTTGGTAATATAGCATGCTAATACTCAGCTTGTGTTTGTTTTGCTGGCTGTGCCGAAGAATTGCAAACGGATCAATGTGAGTTGAAATGAGGACACGGAAGTCAAATAAGGACAAGAGAAGAGAGACGGAGGGGTGAGCTAGGGATACTGAGCATAAGAGATCTACAGACAGAAAATAGAGGGGGCAGGAGAAATATGTGCAATTCATAGAATGATGTATAAAGTGATCACCCAAGAAGACATATTGTACCGGGGACAATTATCACACTCCGGTTCCAGACTGACCATAAATTATGGGCCCTGGCTTGCGTTTCTTCTTTTTATGCCTTAGTCTTAAAGCTGTACTCATGGAAAGCAGCTAAAAACAGAGATGACATAGATATATGAGAACTGCTTCACCTGCCCCAGGATTTGTATTTTTCTCAATCCAGTGCTGAGACTTACACCACTCTGCCACACAGCACAGTCCTGCCTAACAGGTCATAAGACACTTAAAGTCCATTTCCACCTTTGTAAGTGATTAGCATTTATTGTGGTAATGTAGAGATGCAGTGATGATGTATATGTGTGCTCATTTTCATGACTCACATTGCAGAACCTTTTATTAGGCCTGAATACTACAAATTCAACATTTTCTCAACAGGAAACTCAGTCTGACACCGGGGTCAGATTGTAAAGCAGGCTGTTAACAGCTGCCCCCCTCCGTGTGATTCTGTGTAACGTGATTACTAAACACCAGCTTTGTCTTTGCACACAATACGCTGTCCAGGGGGGGGTGCCACTATGAATACTAATGAATGGGGGGGGGGGGGGGGGCGAGACACCAACAGGGGGGGGTGGAGAGCTCACAGATAGAGCTTACTTGTAATATACACAGATTGCTTGCAGGGCACAGAGGTGGCCATTTCCATGAGCAAATGAAGAGGAGAGCTGACAAAAAACATAAGCTTCTGTGTTGCAATTTTATTTCATACTGCATGAATGTCAAAAAAGACAATACTTTGAAGCTAAAAGTGTGTGCGGACATCATATCTTCTACTACTGCATACACGGCAGGGCACCAGGATGTTGGGCACATGCCTCAGGTTTCTTTGTAGGAACAAGCTTTCTGGCTCATTCATAACCCGCCCTATCTCTGGCACAATGAATGGGCCAGAGCACTCCTTTATTTGTCCAAATAAAGGACAAAAAAATTAATTTATTTGAATGCATTTTTTTAGCTGTGCTGTTTTTCTAAAAAAATAATAATAATCAAAACTGGGAAAAAGGTATTTTCTTTACGTTTTTTCCTAATTTTTTAATGTTTTACTTGTTCTAAGTGAGACGGTAGGCACACATATGTGATATAAACTTACAGCTCTATCTGTCCTCTAAAAACCAATATATAATATGTGTGATTGCACTTAGTAAGAACGTATATTACTGACGTGGTAGAATCACACAGCAAAAATGTAAAAAAGTGTGTAATTTATTAACAAACAGAAACTAAAAGAAAAGCTCAGTCATGAAGGGGTTAAGGACTTATGCAGATGGGCACCTTTGGCCATACAATGAACATTTGTGCAAGAAACCCTGAAGGGCCCCGCCCCAACTGCCATGGCACGGCATGGTTAACAGGAAGGCTGCCGAGGTCCCCAGCAAGCGCGGGACCTCGGGCAGCCGCTTGTTTAAAATTTTAGTGCGGTGTCCTGTCGAGAACGCTGACCCAGTATCTGCGCTTGCGTACAGACGGGATTAACGAGGAAAATTTATTTACAAAGTATTCGTTTGTAATGGTTAATTGTGACTTAATAATATACCATCTATGGCAGTAAATGATTAATGGAATATTATTAACGGTCACAATTAACAATTTGAATAAAAAACTTTGTTAATAAATCCCGGTTTCCTCGATAATATTGCTCTGTGCACAAGCGCAGATGCTGAGGTTGGCAAATTTGACTACATCGGCGTTCTCGACAGAACACCGGTATCTGCGTTTAGTAGCGGGGCATTTTCATGAGTATAGATACTCGTGAAAATGCCAAAAAAAACACACACTTTCCCGCGCTCCCCCGGCCCCACCCTTCCCACTCCAGACTTACCTTCTTTCTCCAGCAGGGCCCTCTCTCTTTCTTGTGTCCCCGGTCAGGGGGTGGGCCTAAGAGGGCCCCGCCCCCTCACACAGCAGAATGTGCTGCCCGGTGGTGCCTGCAGCATATTCTTCTGGTGACAGCCTCTCCGATCCCTGCTGCACAGCTGCCCGTACATGCTGCGGCGGCTGTGTGGCAGGGAACAAGCGGCACTCTTTAGGGGGGGCCCTCTTCTTCCTCGCTGGGTCCCCCCAAGTGGCGGAACGCCAGGGCCCGGTCCACCGCTGCGACCCTGGTAGTTCCGCCAGTGTTTGTGCGTATTTTCCCACCCAGGGATCACAGGCGCTGCCCATAGAACTCAATGGCTGTAAGCAACTGTATGTGGGTATACACTGGCAGAGCCGTAGCTAGCTCCTTTTGCACCAGAGGCAAGAACACAAAATAACACCCCCTCCAGGTTACTGATTTATGGGATGATAGGGACAGAGCAGGGGAGTAAAAGGGTTTTTAAGGGGGTGATGGAGACAGAGCATGGGGACAGGGCGCAGGGGATTGAAATGGATTTTTAAGAGGTGATGGGAACAGAGTATGGGGACATCGGGTGATAAGACAGAGCAGGGGAGTAAAATTGATTTTTAAGGAATGAAGGGGACAGAGCATGGGGACGTGAGGTTACAAGTACAGAGAAGGGGAGAAAAGGAGATTTTTAAGGGGGTGATGGGGGCAGAGCAGAGATCATTTGAAGATGGGGACAGAGCAAGGAGAAGTAAAAGGGATTTTTTAAGAAGTGATGGGGATAGAGCAAGTTATGGCAGAAAATACTCCCAATGCGTTAGCATTGATGTTCCGCTTGTGATCCAGGTCAGTGCATTTGTACTTATATATCTTTGTTAAACATCAAAAAATTCCCTGAATTTAAGTGCTAGCTACACGTACAGGATACCAATTGCTTACTTCATGAGGGGATAGAGCAGGTTATGGCAGAAAATTCTCCGAATTACATATTGTTAATTCCCAGGTCTCCTTCGTCCCCAAGTCTTCCTTGCCATCTCTCAGCACTAGGGTATGGAGGGAGCGGTCATGTACGGGTCAAAGGTGTGATACTTCATAGGCTGGTGCACTGAGTTTTCAGCTGCCTTTAAGCAGCATTTAAGCACCAGCCAATATGCATCAGCGCTGCATGTGTGTCCGCTGGTCGCCTCTATGGTAAACTGAGGCGATTAGCACTGCAGCCGCTCTCTACTCCCCCCACACCTGGGAACCAGCCAATGAGTGGCAGAGCTGCACATGAGTGAGATGGTAATGTGAGGTGATCAGCATTGGATCCGAAAATCCAAAGCACCCCTCCACTTCTTACCACCAGCAGCTCCAACACTGGCTGCACCCCCTTGCAGCTGCGCCCGAGGCGATTGCCTCACTCGCCTCACCCTTCCTATGGCCATGGACCTACGTATACATTCACACACGCGGACTGATTGCATTCGACGTTGTACATCCATACAAATGCACCTGTTTACACAAGCCAAGTGTATACCTACACACGGCCATCAATTTCTTTGGCAGTACACAGCGCCTGTGGCTTCCTGGGCAGAGAAATACGTCCAAAATTGCGTTGTACTACCCCAGACGCCTGTCTGCATGAACTTTAATGCTTCCTGCTAAATTATAGCAATTTTCTGAATGCAAGGCTTCATTTAATGCCACCCAGGTGGACTGGCATTGCTGATGATATCATTATGGTTTGTAGATAATAGGAAATAAAGAGAATACCATACTTGTATATCAATAGTATATGAATGCTGTTACATTATGTACTCCAGTAAGGAAACTTAAGTTTAAAAAAAAAAATGAACAGTTGGTAATTCATATGAAATAATCTGTTGTTCTCTAATAATGTCCACTATGCTAAGTAGCAAACCTAAAATGTGAAATTAGAATGTTTTAACCTGCATTGATTTATTGATGAAGTCTCAGCCTGCCACTAAAATATTCCTAAACTCGCCGTGCTGAATAAAATATCAAGCCGCCCTCATTGCCTAAAATACAAGCTGTAGATTCAGTTAACTGCAATTCTCTTCTACGTATG